TTCCGTTCCGCACGCTTAACGTCGGGGGAATATTTGCATATAACGACACCTTCAATTCTTAATAACAGTTTTTTATGTATATGAGAATATAGGCCTACCCCGGGTCCTTAAGTCGCCTTAAATCGCCTTAAGTCGCCTTAACTCGCCTTAAGTCGCCTTAAATTGCCTTAAATTGCTTAAAGTCGTCTTAAAATGCCTTAAGTTTGATTGTTTTTTCAGACTCATTTTTTTCATATTTGTATTCATTACTTATTTCTGTCATTCATGCATTATGTTAAAAGGAGTTTGCTTGGTGGCATTATTATTGACCACCATTACCAGAATGCTTTGCAAATTTTCTTTCTTTTTGAAATTCATATTCCCTCATGAGAATAGTAAGAAAATTGATGAAATTAAAAAAAAACAAAGGGATTCTGGTAGCAGAGGTTCATGATGCCTTAATGCAAATGTCCTAGCTATTATATATCATAGTGGAGCACTCATAGTCATATTAATGATTAAAAACGGACATTAACTCAACACATAACATTATGTAAATAATTAAGACATGCCACTTATAATCAATATATATTTTCATATTAACATACTGACATAAACTCATAATATGAAAATAAACTGATATAATATGGAAATAATTAAGATGTGCTCCCTATATGAGCAGCCAGAATACCTCGCTGACATAAGCTACCAGTTTTATTTATCTCTTTTGGCTCATTTGATGTTAGATAATTTTAAAGTGGCTATTGTTTTAAGATTCTATAAGTCTTAATGTATTTTGAAGTCAATCTTCTTAAAATATGTAGTTTTCTAACCAGTATTTTTTTGACTGAGATTACTGAGGTTCTTAGAAAGTTGTTATCGCAGACCACGTCATCACTACTCCAAAACTATACAAACTATATAAAGCATTGATTCCTTTTTACGTGCATTTGATTTAAGCTTATGTTTTTTTTGCAACTGATCTTTAAATTTGGCACAGAAAAATTAGCTATAGTATTGCGGGAAATTGATAGCCTAGAAATACACATACACTTGTATACTTAGACGCATTTGACCTGATCAATAAAACCTTTACTGTGTATAATAAATAAGACTTACTTTACAGGCAGATCGAGAACATTATAGAACATTATCTACTCGCTTGAGAGCTAACGCCATGCAGCCATAGGAATTTAAGTCTCTTCATTCCGATCACTTTCACATTCGAATAATAATTTCCATGACACAAGTTCCTCCATTTTAGTGGTGTTATTGCACTGACTATCGTAATACGCTGTGCAATTCGAAGAAAACAAACCATCCGAAAAGAGCTTCCGAAAAGCCATTTACAAAACAGTATAACATTCACCATTTTGAATCATTTTAGCGCGCAAGGAATTGTGGTTGTAATTGAAACTTCTCGCCCCAGATTCTCTCTGTCGTAGGTCTTCCAAATATTGGCAGAGTGGGGGAGGGGTGGGTTTGGATAATATAAAAGATAGGACAACATTAGAAAAAACACAATTTTCATTTATGTAAAATGATTAAATTTTAATAAATAAATTTTCCATTGATAATATCCTAAATTATGTACTATTTGTTTAATTCAGTAGTATATCCAGGAATTATCCATACGCCCCCTCCCCCCAACCACACACAGATTCAATTTCGGAGTGGTKGATAGTCAGAGAAAGAACAAATGGAAGAAAATTAGAATTTGGAGTGGGTAAGGGGGTGTCTTTAAAAWAAKYCYYMAWKKKGGRRGGGGGTATGGATAAATTCTGGTACTACAACACATTTTTATTTGTCTATTGGACAGATTAAATTTTTTGGTTCAGTTGAGCTATACATAATTGCTCCAAATGCTACATTCTTAAATCAAATGTGTTAGTATCAAAGAGAACAGGAACTTCATTAAAATTCAT